TCGTCCGTTCATTAACATTCACAGGAACATTTAAATTTACCTTATGGTAGCGAGTGCCATAAAAAGGAATGGGGAGAAAAGGTTTTCTCCTCAAAGTTACAGTGCTTCCATGGAACTCTTTATGTAATGGTATTTCTGATGACATTGTGCTAAACGACCCAGACAGAAATGTAGAGCAACAGTGGGGTGGGCAGAAGTTCGAATTAAATAGCAATCCAACAATAGTTAGAGCTTTGCAGAAGATCTGGACCAATAGGTTCTTTTTAAACTCAATTTAATATTTTAATCAGGACATACTGTCAAAGTCAATTTTACCAAAACTGCCAACACATTCATATCTGAATGCATGCAGTCTGGTCATAGAGTCATACAACACGGAAACAGGCCCTTTGGTGTCCAACTGGTGTCCAACCAGTCCACACCAATAATGTTCCCAAGCTAAACTAGACCCACCTGCCTGCGTTTGGCCCATATCCCTCCAAACATTTCCTATTCACGTACTTATCCAAATGTCTTTTAAATGTTGTAACTGTACCCACATCCACCATGTCCTCAGGAAGTTCATTCTGCACATGGACCTCTCTCTGTGTAAAAACTTTGCCCCTCATGTTTTTTTAAAATGTTTTCCACTCACCTTAAAAAATATGCCCACTAGCTTTGAAATCCCCCACCCTAGGGTAAAGACACCTGCCATTCACCTTATCTATACCCCTCATGATTTTATAAACCTCCATAAGGTCACCCTCAACCTTTTACAGGAGAATAAAAATCCCAGCCTATCCCTCATCTCCTTATAACTCAAACCCTCCATTCCCGGCAACATCCTGCCAAATCTTTTCTGAACCCCCTCTGGTTTAATAATATCCTTCCTAAAACAGGGCGACCAGAACTGCACACAGCAATCCAATGCAGGCCTCAGCACCATACTGTGTGAAACACACAAGAGAAGCAGGTCGTCAGAAAACGTGATAAAATCCTCCACGGATCAATGGACTGCAATTGACTTTGATAAATAAACAGAATTTTCAAAAGGCTTAATTTATTTATAATACATAAATAACAATCACAGAGCAAGATTAGTGTCCTATAAGTTGTCACAGAAATAACTACAACAGCAATGAAAATGGACCATCAACACTCAACTTTCACTTGCCTGTAAGGTTTGAAGCATTCATGGATTTTAAAAATAGTTTTAAATGGACACTGCCAACCTAAAATAGCTGCTGTAATCATCTAACAAACCCACACATCCATTGTGGAATGTATAAATATTGACTGCCATGGAACTGCCATTTTAATCAAGAAGCACTGAAACTCAGTGAGACGTCAAAATGTTTGTATCTCTTGTTTTGCTTCATGCTTGAATTATAAATTCACATATTGAAGGTGGAAATTAATCTCTGGAGTGTTCAGTTTGGAAAGGGCAATGGAGCTATACTTGAAATATACAAACAAACCATATTTTAGAGGTTATGTTTAACCAATACTGAATACTGTAAGGATACAGAAAGCTCTTTTCTTTCTCTTTCTCTATTACACACACACACACACACACACACACACACACACACACACACACACTCAATCCCAGTAAACCAAGTAGAACCTCTGTTAATTTACAATACAAAAGTATCTGCAGGCTTCACTATTCCTGAGGGAACAGAACAACAAAATTGGGATTCAAATTTCACTCTTGCAAGTCAGATTCTAAATAAAAGCTGTGAACTGTAACAGCCTTCACCTTCCTGTCTGTCCAAGTTAATGCTCCTCCACCTTTGTATATAAACTCATTACCTGTGTTTTATGAGTCATGTTTTCTCAGTTTTCTCCAGTTAATCAGTAATAAGACACCATTCTCTTTCACTCAAGAATACTTTGCAATTGGCTCTTTTTCAGTTTTGATCTTAACCAAGTTCACTCGAGGTGTAATAACTATGTGCCAAAGAAAAAGGTATTTGCTTGTGATTGACCATTAATGGTTTTTAGAAAGAAGTGAGATATGCCCCCTTCCCATTTAGTTGTAACAGCACCCACTTTAAACTGATTATGAGTTTTTAATTGTCGAAGATGATCTACATTGAACACAGAAATTCACCTGAAGGAATCTGACTGTGGCTGGTTCTTTCTTTACTCTCTCCTTCTGGAAATGTTGAAATTCTATTGGGATATGTTTTAGAGCTTCTGGTAGTGTACATATAGCCATTATTCACAAGTAAACTTTGTGATGTGGAGATCAAACTCGTAATTAAAGGATTACTTTACAGCAACACTTGATACTGCCCTCAAACAACAGCCTTCAGTGCAAGTCATTAGTTAGGAGTATAAAACCATTGTTAATATTGCCCTCCCTAAACCAGTTGCATGCTGGCTGGAACCAGTTTAGCTCTGTACTCACTGTAGATCAAAACTGGAACCTTCCTCATCTACGTCTGAACTGCATATTGCATCAATCCACCTTTGGCTTCCTTCCAGGGTTCACTCCCTTAACCTTCACCTCTCCTTGAGATAGTGACAAGGCAGTACTGCTATTTGCCCATTGCTGAGAATGTGGTTCACAAGTGCCAGGAGAGTCCAAGTCCAGGGGTCAAAACTCTTCCCAGTTCCTTTGAAGTTTTAGCTGTGAGGGTCTCAGTTCCATGTGCCACCACAGGAAGCACAGCTGATGACATAGACGGAAAGGCTGTGCACTATACTGACACAGGTAGAGACTTACACATTGGGGTCTCTTTTGCACTGCAGTTTGCTAGCAATGTAAGCAAGAAACGTGAAACAAACCAACACACATGAGTAGGAAGCATGCTAACTTTCTTCACCCACATCAGACACCTGCTGGACAACTGGAAGACAGTCCCTGATAGCCATGATGGAGCAAATTAGTGCAGATGCTGGAATCTATACATAAAACCAAAAATGCTGGAAATTACAGTGGGCCAGGCGGTGTCCACAGAGACAGAGCACGCTAATGTTTTGAGTCTAGATGACTCCTCATCAGAGCTGACGTGAAGTGTGGAGGGGGCAGCATTTATGCAATAATGGGGTTGGGGGATGGAGTACTGTGGGAGAAAGGGTATTGATAGTTCAGATTGAGTGATTGGAATGTGAGAAGGGCAGAGCAATGGTGTATCTAACTGTCAGACTGGAAAGAACAGATTGTGCCATTGGGAGATAGTAGGAACTGCCGATGCTGGAGAATCTGAGATAACAAGGTGTACAGCTGGATGAACACAGCAGGCCAAACAGCATCAGAAGCAGGAAAGCTGACATTTCGGATCCAGACCCGAAACGTCAGCTTTCCTGCTCCTCAGATGCTGCTTGTCCTGCTGTGTTCATCCAGCTCCACACCTTGTTATCTTAGATTGTCCCAATGGGATGGGGGGAGGAGAGAGAGGGCAAGGAGAGAGAGAATGCAACAAGTAAAGCTAAAAGAAAGGAAAGGAATGGGAGTGTGTTCACAATCTGAAGATATTGAACTCAATATTAAGTCCAGAAGGTTGTTAAGTGCACAGTCTGAAGATGAGATGTTGTTCTTCCTGGAAGATGAACGTTGGGAGGGGCTTTGGAAGCAGCATGCCTTGACCAAGAAGAGGGTCCAGAGAAAACACAGGCCAGCAAAATTGTGCATCTTCTCAGCTCACTCTCCTCTTCGGTTAGCACTGCTGTCTCACGGTGCCAGGGACCCGGGTTCGATTCCACCCTCGGGCGACTGCCTGTGTGTAGTTTGCACTTTCTCCCTGTGTCTGCATGGGTTTCCTCCGGGTGCTCCGGTTTCCTCCCACTGTCCGAAGACGTTCAGGTTAGGTGGATTAGCCATGGTGAATGTGGGTTTACAGAGATAGGTTTGGGGGGGTACTGGGTCTGGGTGGGATGTTCTCTGGAGGGTCCATGCAGACTTGATGGGCCAAATGGCCTGCTCAGTAGGACAGTAAATGAGGTGGACACTGCCAAGCCAGAGTGGGATTCCTGAGCATCACCAGAAGAGATCTAGCACAGAGTTGACCACCATGGTGTGGACTCTAGTCTTATGAGACTGAAGACTGCCAGTAGATTTTCTGCTTAACATCTTGGGTCATGGGGGGCCCTTGAGAGAGTTCTTTGGCAAAGGAGCACAAAAATCCACTCCAGGTTTTGCCAACTGCATTGCACCGTTAGCCTTCTGAGGTCACAGCAGCAGAGAGCTTTACAAGCTGCTGCTGCAGAATCAGATACCTTTGCAGGAATGGACAAGGAGCAGATGCTACTGTCTGCCTCTCTGTGAATGGTGTACCATAATTCAGAGTTACGTAATTATTTCACATCAGGGGCACTTTTATATAAAAGCGCTGTTAAAAGTCAGACCTCCCAGGGTGTAACAGAACCTGTAGCCTCTTATAAAGGTAGGTTTTTCTTGAAAATGTATGTCTTGTCTGTACAAATAGACTAGATTTATTTATAGCTTCTATTCTTGTGGACTCCTTTCATCCTGTCTGGCAGGGTGGCATATTCAGATGGGCTGCTCTACTTAGATGAATGAATGAGAGTTGCTAAATAAATCGAGTAGGTCATCTGAGAACATCATGGTTTCAGCAACGTGAGTTATTGGTTATTAGGAATATTGAGTCTGTACAGAAAAATGCTGATTAATCTCTTGAAATCATTAATCAACAAAACTGAACACATTTGATGAAAACATCGAGTTAAGAGTTAAATATATCTGTGATTTATCCAAAAAGACTGAATTTTTCTTTTGATCTGTAAGTGTTTACAGCCATTGTGCGGATATGCTTTGCGCTAGTGGTTTATTTTTACAAACTTTATTTACTTTAAATGCATTTAATCAATGCTCATTTTAATGTGTACTCTTAATTTAATAAGATCAGAAGCCCAGATGAGAGACTCCACTGAGACATTCTGAATGTATCGCTGGACCTCAGGCTATGGAATTAGCTGTGTTTGTTGTGGTTGTACCTTACCTATTGTGGTGCACTTTTACACCTCATTTATCATTTGACGTCAAGCTGAAGTCAAACTCTGGTTGGTGAGCAACAGCTGAGATCGATGTGCCAAAATCTTACCCAGGTCAGAGGAAAAGTTGTATTATTTCGGTGCTGCAGAAACAGATCATGATACTGTCTGGTACCTTGGCACTTAACTAAATTTTATAGAGTTGTACAGCACAGAAAATGCCCTTTGGCTGCTTGAGTCTGCACCAACAAAAGAAAAATCACCTACCTACACTAATCCCACTTTCCAGCACTTGGACCATCGCCTTTAACATTATGACATTTAAAGTGTTCATCCACATACTTTTTACAGGTTCTGAGGCTTCCTGCTGCTACTACCATCCCAGGCAGTACATTCCAGATTCCCACCACCCTGTGGGTGAAAAAAAAGTTTCCTTTTTTTAACCATCATATTCTGAAGTCACACAACACCAGGTGATAGTCCAACAGTCCTCTCACTGCTCCAAAATCTTGTGATTTCAAATAAACCCTTTGGACTATAGCCTGGTACCATGTGACTTCTGACTTTGTCCACCCCTGTCCAACACAGGCACCTCCACATCATAACTTACCATCAGAGATAGTAGGAACTCTAGGCCTGAAACATCAGCTTTCCTGCTCCTTTGATGCTGCTTGGCCTGCTGTGTTCATCCAGCTCTGCACCTTGTTATAACTTACCATCATATTGGCTTTCAGTTTGCTTACAGATTAAGAAGAGACAAGTTTTGCTTCATTCACAGATTTGTTTGTTAAAACAAAACAAAATCAAAGGAATATTAACTCTAAGCAATGTGGTATTTACCCAATGATTAACCTTCAGTGGCTTTCTTGATTGTTTTTTCAATAAAATGTGTATTTTTTTTAACCTGCAGCTGGTGTACTTGATCATCACGTTTGTGCCTTCCAACATGGCGCACTCGCCCAGCTTCCTGGGCAGCAGTAGGCACACGGAGATCTGGATGTCCCAGGGCTGATGGTGCTGTGCTTGTTGTAATGGGCCCAGATGAGAAGCCTCCCCCATGATATGCTCAAAAATATCACTGAGGAATGCATTGATGACGCTCACAGCCTTAGTAGAGATGCTGGTGTCAGGGTGAACCTGCCCCATCACTTTGTATATGTGGACGGAGTAACTTTCTTCCGTAAACTTTCTCCTCTTGTAGAGTCATACAGCAGGGAAACGGCCCCTTCAGTCCAACCAGCCCATTGCTGATCATAATCCTAAACTAAACTAGTCCCAACTGCCTGCTCCTGGCCCATATCCCTCAGAACATTTCTTATTCATGTAATTATTCAAATGTCTTTTCAACATTGTGACTGTATCCACATCCACACTCTCTCTGGAACCATGTTCTGTGTAAAAAAAATTACCCTTTGTGTCTTTTTTAAATCTTCCTCCTTTCACCTTAAAAAAAAGGCTCCCCAGTCTTGAAATCTCCCACCATAAGGAAAAGACACCTTATCTATACCCGTCTGATTTTATAAATCTCTATAAGGTTATCCCTCTTATCTCCTACGCTGCAGTGAGAAAAGTGATAGCCTATCCAGCCTCTCCCCACAACTTAAACCCTCCATTCCCAGTAACATCCTGGTAAATCTGTTCTGAACCCTCTCCTCTCCTTGCTGCTCTTCGCTGGTGCCTCTTCACTGCTTTCCTAGAGCCCTTCTTGGCAACTTGTCCTTTCTTTTCCTCAACCATGATGACGGTCAATAACCTCAGGAAGTGAATGACACTTGGTGCTAAAAGCTGGCCAAAAAATAGGGTGCCTGTTCAAAGAAGTGGGCTTTCCATTTTGAATCATCATCTGACATCCCAGGATGTTATTCAAAGTTGTTGAAAACCTACAGTGAGAGAGAATCTCATGAAGGCAGGTAAAGAGAATTTGTAAAGAAAAATTGGAAAGCAGACTAATATGCCAAGCAATTCTCAAATCATGTTCCTTAAAACCATTGCTCATATTTAAAAAACGCTTGTCACAGGAGAACGAACATTATAGACCTTTAAATTTTTTAACACACAGTTTTGAAATTCTACCATTTCACTTCAAAATGTACAATGTGGCTAAATCACGAAGCCTGTCCTCAACTTAAAGAAGTAAGAAGCCCACTGGCAACATGGGCTCACTTCTGAAATTCCAGACCAGGTCAGTCCAGGATCTCAAATTGGGATGGGTTGAAATGGGAAGCACATTTGTTCCACAAAATGCAACAATGAATGGTGCTGCATAATTACAAACATTTCTTCTTTCTCATGTTGTGCAAGAAAGCAGAAAGTCATCCAACAGCTCAACTATAGCACAACGAATAACACATTTAGGAACTGGAAAATGAAAGGAAGGAGGGGCTTCAGAATTGGTTCTCATGAAAGGTCACTGGACCTGAAATGTTGACTCTGTTTACTCTTCACAGATGCTGCCAGACCTGCTGAGTTCTTCCAGCAATTTCTGTTTTTGTTTCTGATTTCTAGTATCTGCAGTTCTTTGTTTTGTTTTAGGATACAATGCAGATTGTATTCTATACAAGTGAATGACAATGTGGTCAATGTAAGCTGCTTGGCATCTTTAGAGTAGTTAAGATATTTGTTTCCTAATTACAGCGACCATGTATGGCATCAGTAATCTGCTACCTACAGCAGCTGAATAGAATTGCTAATTATTAATTCTGATGAAACAAAAAAACTTTCATTGTGAGCCTTTTTTTGAAATAAAACACTTTTCAGATAAATATTGAACTGCAATTCAGGAGTGTAAACTGTATTCACGTACAGTCACCTGAAAAATGTGAAGTAAAAGTTTAACAGGAAGCCCTCCCCCGATTAACTTTACTGTACAGATGACTAGAATCTCCAAAGCCAGCAGGTTCTGCTCTACTCTTTCTAATATTGGCACAGTTCAGTCTCAAATCACTCCATACGACAACATAGTAAAATAGAAGTTAGACACTACCATCTGGTTTTCTGAGAGGTTTCACTCATTAACCAGTGTCTGATCACATGGACATAGGATGCACAGGAGTGACTGAAGTGGAAAACTGTAGGGAAGCACAATTTGAGAGAGAATGGGATCGAGTCAATTCAAGCGAACAATAGGGAACAAAGGCTGTGCAGGCCTAGGGAAAACCTCACATTCTAGCCCATTGTTGAGAGAGATGAAAAGGAAACCGGGAAGTAAAACCAATCATCCCACTGGAAGTTGTGAACAGGTGTGAAATGTTAGAAATAGCACAACACTGCAACAATGGAAAATGAGATCAGATTGAAGACCAGGTCTTTTGATAACATCATAACAGACAAGAACAGGAACAGAAGGGGGTACTCTTCCAATCAACAAGACCATAGGTGATCTTCTCTCTCTACTCCACTTTCCTACATTATCTTCACATTTCTTCATTCCCTTTAGTTTCAATTATCCATCACCCTCGATTCTGAATCTGCTCAATCACTGAGCTCGGTGGGATAGTGAATTTTAAAGATTCATGACAGCCTCAGCGATGACATGTTTCACCACAGTTCGGAGATTATAACTCTAACTTCTATGCCCTCCTCATACCCTTCACACCAAACTATACACTTCCACACCCTCATGGCCCCTCATACATTGTATCCCAAACTATACACTTCCACACCTCCATAGTCTTTATACACTCTACACTAAACTCTATCCTTCTACACCTCTCTGGCCCCTCATACACTCTACACCAAACTACACCATTCCACACTCTCATGGCCCCTTATATACTCTGTGCCCATTCACGCACCATACACTATGCATTGACCAATGAACCTTGTACTGACAATACAATGTGTTTTGAAAAAAAAAATGCATTTTTTTTGAAGAAAAACATTCATTCATATAAATCAATTTGGGTAATAAAAATGTCAAGTCCGAAACTGGAAGCATTTGAAGACTCCATCTTGTGTAAATAAACATTGTGAAATTAACAGAATAGATCAGACAGCCAGAGCGATTAAGCAGGAAATGATTTCTCTGAGAGCAGCTATTTCAACACTCCAATGGGTCTGGGCAATCAGCCCCCATTCTGTATCTATGAAGAAAAAATTCAGAGTTAACGTTTTGGGTCTGGACCCGAAACGTTAACTCTGATTTTTTTCTTCACAGATGCTGCCAGACCTGCTGAGCTTTTCCAGCATCTTCTGTTTTTGTCCCTGATTTATAGCATCCACAGTTCTTTCGGTTCCCATCTTCTCTGAGCCCCTACTCTGAAATTTTCATCCCTTCCTCCAGGACAACGTCCACCCGAATTTCCCAGGACTCCTCTTTATTCTTCACTCACAAGCATTAGTTCTCAGATTCTACACTTCCTCGATTCTGGTGATTCCTGATCTATTAAAGCATCCTGTCCCTACATCAATAGCAACATTGGGTGGTCAGGAGTTGGTCAGGTCCATTGGGTGGTCAGGAGTTGGTCAGGTCCATTGAGTGGTCAGGAGTTGGTCAGGTCCATTGGGTGGTCAGGAGTTGGTCAGGTCCATTGAGTGGTCAGGAGTTGGTCAGGTCCATTGGGTGGTCAGGAGTTGGTCAGATCCATTGAGTGGTCAGGATTTGGTCAGGTCCATTGGGTGGTCAGGAGTTGGTCAGGTCCATTGGGTGGTCAGGAGTTGGTCAGGTCACCAAGGCAGAAGCTGCTGTGAGTAACAATTGGTGACAGCAATGGATGGAGGATAAGGTACATGGTGTTAGAACATGTTTGTTGTGGGCAGTTTTGCAAAATAATGATACTGTGGGGCAAACCAGTGTTGGGCTGAGATCTTAGCATATATCAAACCTAAATTTGCATGTGGAAAAAAAACTTCAGGCATATGTAAAGGAACCCACATTTGTCCTTAACTGCACCATTACTACCTGCACATCATGGATAGTGCACTTCCCAGCAGAAGAGTGCATGTGCTTCGTACTCGTCATTCTGGAGCCCAGTGTATATTGCCCAAGTTCTGGGCTAACATCTCCGACCATGCAGCACTCTACAGTACAGCACTGAAATGTCAGTCTGGATTGACTACTGTCTCTGGAGCAGGTGTAAAACTCTTTGGTATTCTCAATCAGAGCCAAGATTATATCATGCTGATCTAGGCCAGTTTTAATTAAAGGGAACTAAAAAACTTTTTTTAAGTGAGACATGATGGTGAAGAGGGGAGAAAACAGATATTAATGGTAGCTATGAAATTAATGAACTGCAAACTGCTCAATGCAAATAAATCCTGACCATTCTTTTTAACAGAGATAGTAGGAACTGCAGATGCTGGAGAATCTGAGATAACAAGGTGTAGAGCTTCTTTTTAACATCCTGTTAAATAGAAAAAAAGACAAAAGAATAGTGGAAATTACATAAAACCATTTAATCAAATCGTATCCTGCCAATAGCTGACTCTCTGCACATCTTTAACTCGCTGTCATGTCCGTACATTTGAAATACAGAGCAACAAAGCTTGCCACTTCCTTTGGCCTTTGGCAACTGAAAATAGAACAGAATCATACTCTCAGGAAAACTCAAAGCTGCAGTTTCTTTCATTGCTGAAGAGCACATGCCGAGAGTCAGGTGGACCTTGTGATCTGTATTTGATGGTAGACTGCCCAGGTGATACAAGGCTAACATACATGCTGTACATCCTGCCAGCCATCTTTTATGGCTTATTATCTTTTCATTGAACCTGGCATACTGAAAGCAGTAAGAGCTAAGGACAAAATATATTGTCATTTTAAGACAGGCCAGGCAGCATTTTAAAGGGAACGATTGGTTATAATGCTGGAAATGGGACAGCACAGAGATTATGACTATATTGGAAGTGACAAGAGAAATATAAATTGTCACTTGGTAGTACAGATAGTCATAGAGTCATACAGCTCAGAAACAGACCCTTCAGTTCAACTCGTCCAAGCCAACCAAGTTTCCCAAACTAAGCTATTCTCATTTGCCTACATCTGGCCAAGATCCCTGTAAACCTTTCCTATTCATGCATCTGTCCAAATGTCTTTTAAATGTTGTAACTGTATCTGCATCTACCACTTCCTCTGGCAGTTCATTCCACACATGAACCACTCTCTGTGTGAAAAAGTTGCCCGTCAGGTCCCTTTTAAATCTTTCTCCTTTCACCTTAAAATTATGCCATTGAGTTTTGAACTCCCCTCTCTACCCTGGGGAAAAGAGTTTTGCTATTCACCTTATCTATGCTCCTCACAATTTTATAAACTTCTATGTCTTGAGTATTGCTGAGAAAAACAACCTTTTGTCAAAGTTTTCATTTTGCACTCATCAAGACAATTTGCAAGAGTTAGAGTCTGCTTGCCAACCAATCAGCACTGTCCTCTCATGCAATATGAATGTTGGTTTTCCCCTTGAATTGATATTCTTGCGAATAATGCTGATGAGTGCAAAATCAAAATCTCCGATAATATGTCTTTTTTCAGCAATATTCAAGAAATATAAATCCAGCTTTATGTTTTAGATCTAGATCCATTTCCTATTTTGGTTTCTCGTTTCATTTCAGATTTCCAGCATTCACACTAATTTTTACTTCTAGTATTTATTTCATTTAAGTAGCACAGTGCACAAGTACACACGGTCTTGTGGGACAGATCAATTAATTCTGGCTCATTACTTAAAGGAATTCTGAAATAACTAATAATTGTTGAGATTTTGTAGACTTGAGTAATCAATTGATGAAATGTGAAGTATATGGTGGGCTAAGGTGATGGTTGAGATCTAGAATTCAATTTGTTTGTTCTTTCTGCCTGATTCTGTACTAGGAAATGAGGGTGAAACAGCTGACTCCAGTGGACCACTTACCCACAATCTTTGAGAGCCATGATGAGGTGTATCATGATACTCTGTGCACTAAAGATGCAGGACTCAGCAGTGGCTGCCATCCTCCTCAAACCCAAGATGACTACCTGAAATCTATCTGTCAGCTGGCAGAGCCCACCTTCCTCTTCGGCACATCTTCAAAAACCCAGAACTCAAGTTACGTAAATACTTTGCTCAGCACTCCAAAACAGACCATCAGTCACAGACATAACGCTGACCCTCCTTCTCCCATATCCCTACAGAGAAGCAGCAGAAAAGGCAATCGCTTGTGTATGTTGGCGGATGCTTTCTCTGTGGACACTATCACAACTGCAGTGAGCAGCAGTGAGACACTGGGTAAGAGCTCTGACTCATTTTCACGGCTCTTTAGCCGATCACACAATGAAAACCATAGAAGAAGTAACCAACAATTTCCACAGCGACATTTTCTGGCTCTTTATGCCCAGGAAGCCAAATGTTCCAGGAAGACTCACTGGCTCTCACTTGACCACATGATCATGGAAGAAAGTTGCCTTCATGGAAAACAGCCATCACGAGAGGATGTCAAGGCCTCATCGACAGGATGCTCTGCCAACATTATGCAAGGAAAGCTTGCATCTTCAGAACTCTTTTCATATCACTGGTAATGAACAGTGCAGTGTTTCTAATTGCATGAGAGAGTCCAACAGTTCTCTAACATAGGAAGGTCAGGATTCCTAAAATCTTGGTCACTATCAACTTCAACGCAAAAAGAACTGGGCAAAACTTGTCACTTTCCATTCAAGGTCACCGATTCAATGAAGAAAACGCATCTCTATTCCCCTCAGTCACCAGTACTACACTGCCATTAGGAATCTAGATTGAATATATCACAAACAAAGAGATTCTATTTGAAATGAGTTTGTTGACTTACCCCTAGTTCTGCGAAAAATGTAGATACAGCTCCTAATTTGGGCATCTCTTCTATTTTTCTATCTTACCCTATTGCTTCACTCAATTGCTTCACTCTCCCTCATGCACACTGCCTTTCTGCTCAGCTTTCCCTGCGAACCCACTTACGAGCGAGCCTTGAAGTATATATTTATCTAGATATGCTGCCCTCTTTACCAATGAGAATCCTGGCTGCACAATACATTGGGAACCTGAAGCAGTGGAGACTCTCAACATTCCACCAAAAATCCAAAAATTTGGAGATTCAGAAAACTTTATGAGTTAAAAACAATTTCCTAATGAGTGGGCTTAATGAGTTAAAATCATTTCTTGATGTAATATTAATCTAAAGTGTAGGATGGGAAACCTGCAGCGTTGTTTGGAAGGCTGGTTTAACATGTACCTAATGTTATTCCAATGGAAATTACAATCAAACAGGGTGGAAAGTGTGTTGCACCAAATTTCAGAGTTGGGTTAATATAGCATTCACTCTGCTGGAACAGACAGTCTTACCTGATGGCAGACTCTGTCTGTTTCTGTTTTGCCAGTTATATATTCAGCCTGCATTGTCCAAGTAGTTACAAAATGGAATTTTGAATGCCATGCTGAATTCCAAGATCCTAAATGGATTGAGGTTCATAAGCGATTTTTATTCAGTTTAAAGGGGACTTTTAGTTTTGTTTGATTGATGTTCCACACCTTGTCATAACCTTTGTCTTCTATTGAAATGGTTTTTCACTGTTTGTTTGTTTGTTTATTCATATAGTCAAGATGGATATTAAGAAGATTAAAGCGTTTCTTGATGGAATTACGCCTGGCTGTGTTTAACTGATTTATAAACTTATAAGTAGGACGTTCTTTCAAAGAGATTTTGAGTGCCTACTTACTTATTCTGACACTTTAGGAGCATTTCAAAGAATTGCCTCTGTTATTGTAGGGTTAACTGGTTCTGTACCCAGTGGACACTGGAAGAATAATTTAAAATCTCAGTACAATTAGACATTAAACGAATATGAAAATCAAACCACAGGGTCTTCAACAGACATGAATATTTGATTCTCCATATGGTAGAATGGGGAAGGACATGTTCTCAACTGGAAAGTTTATACCAGTGCACCTGAACACTTTCACAATTTATTGGCCAATTTATTGCTCATTTATCTTTTAAGAACAAAGCTCAATCATTGATCACTGCAATAACTTGGTCTTAAATGATTATATACCATATAAATATGGTGGGAAATCAGCAACAACTTCTAAACTTACCTGTTAAAAGCCTCTTGACTCAAGATTAGGAATTCCCCACAGTCTGTGACTCCTGAGAACAATGTCTTCTGTAAAAGCCCTCTCAACTCCATCAAAATGAAGCGGGTTTGAAATGCTCACTTGTACAATGGAGTGTGGAAGAGCAGGATTGGACAGCACTGTCATGGGGCCATAAAAATCCCAAAAGGTAAGAACGAAGGCAGGAATCTTGGAATGGAGTCCTGTCTGCCATTTTTAAATATGCCTTGCCTCTGTCCGAAATTGGACAGAGGCATGAACATCTCACCCAATGTACTGAAGCTTCAGTACCCATTAGGTTTGCTAATTATTCTCACAGTCTGTCCTATCATTTCAAACAGCTATGAATGTGGTATAATGTTGACTTTGAATTCTGTTCAAGTAGCAAATAGAAGTTGGAAACCATTGGATATTTAAACTCCAAAATCAGTTAGTGTGGGTTCTTTCTTTCAAGCACAAAATTTATACTAGCTATTTATTAAAATAACTAAGATGACTTCTATTAGCATCCTCATCTCTCAGCTGTATATTCGATGTACTTTTTGGCAAAAATGTAAGGTACCAGTGACATATTATTTGGCCACATGATGGTGCTCAATCTCCATTTCCTCTCTCAAAGGACATCTATAATGAGGAAAAGGTTTGTGCGTTGGAACTTGTCAAACAAATATTGAGTGGTTTACATAATTAATAAATGATGAAAAACGTAAAAGCTCCTTCCTTTACAAGTTAGAGAGGACTTTCAAATGAACATCCGGCACAGTCAAAGACCACACAGCCCCATTGGTCCAAACTGGTGTTTATGATCCAGACAAACCTCAATCCTCTCCTTTTCAGCTGACCTACCCAGCATACCCTTGTATTCCTTTCTCCCTTACAAAGTCAGGAGATTATGTACCTGAAAGGGAGAAAAGGAGTTCAGCTAATGGGAAAAGAACAGGGGAATAGAGTTATTTGGACAGCTCTTGTAAAGAGCCAGTACCAGGACGATAAATTGAATGGCCTCCTGTGCTGTAAAACTCTACGACTTTACTTCACAAAAGAATGTCTTTTGTATTTGTAATAGTGTTCCATTTGTGAGAACAGAACATTTTAATTACCATTTAGGAAAGCCAAAACAAATCACATTGCTACACCATCCTTCTTGAATCTGAAAGTTTATTTTCGTGACTAAATCATTTATACAACCATAAGCTTGTTCCTTATCCAAGATCACATATTATTTGGAAGGCCACTTCTTGCTTGTGAAAACATTCGAAGATCTAGAGAAATATCTTGCCTGATTAAAAAAAAGTTTTGTAGAATCTGAATGGCTCCATTCAATTTGCTTCAGTGGGGCAGATGCAGAAGGAACAGCTGAACAGTTTCTGTACAATGTGGTACTTTTGGTTTGCCACATAATCATTGCTTGAGTTTTGGTTATGATATTCTCTTTCATGTAAGGGTTTCTTGTACAGCTGGAGTTTGCATTGTTCCTTTATTTTATTAACAACAAAATGATTTGGTTTATTTGATTTATTTATAGCCATGTGTATCTCGCTATATAGCACAGTGAAAAGTGTTGTGTCGTGTCGCCACTCCACAGTGCCATCTTAAAACACGGAAAAATAAACCAAAACATGGAATACAAAGGCAGGAAATTGAGGAAATAAAGAAAGTCTTCAACTTTGCTTCTTGTTAAGTGCTCTGGCATTGGCCATAGGCACAAGTCTCTGTTGCCATGCTGCTGCAGCTGGAATAAAAGTTGCCAATCTTTGGTGCCATCTCACATTCACCAAAGTAAACAGAGCGCTATTTCACACTTGATTACAAAACCAGAATTTTAAAAAATTCAGAAATAAAGGAACAAGGCCAAAAGGAATGAGAAACGTCCAGATATTAAAATTTCATTGAAGTTTTATCTCCACACCAGCACTCTGGCCAAGCCAGAGCCTGGAATCTCAGGAGGAGCCGAGTGCTTCCTGTCACTGTCACTACCACCTCCGCTGGCGCTGCCGCAACCAGATCCCAGAACATGCTCGGGCAGGGCCCATCACCACTGCCTCACTGAAGCAAAAGACTTTAAACAAAAGGGGAAGAAAGAAAGAAAAGTAGACGGAAGTGAACAAACTCAGGAATGCTGTGCTGCCAGTCTGTCACTATCTTTGTTGGCACTGGTTGATTATAACTCCATGTTCTGACCCTACCCTGTCAAGGACAGTATGTATTTGAAATTGTCCTCCTTGTTTCCCTGCGCCCCCTCTCTGTCTCTGTCCTGAAATGGAATGCCATTAAAAATTTAATTACTGTAAATACAGTCAACATCAACCCCGGGACCATGATAAATCTGTCCCAATTGCACACTCTGACAAGTCAATAAACATTCAGGGTTTGGGTAAGCACACAAGAATTCCTACTGGGTTGACCTCACACCACAGGCATTTGCTCTTTCATTGAAATTGCCTAATAAAGGATGGTGAGTGTGAGAATTGGGGATCTCATCCTGGGACTTCAGTAGGCATTCTTCTGAGTTGTGGGGGCACCTTCCAAACACAATGAATTTGGACATCTAACCTGAACCCAACGTACAGAATAGTTCGAGACAACAAGGTGCAGAGCTGGATGAACACAGCAGGCCAAGCAGCATCATAGGAGCAGAGAGGCTGACGTTTCGGGCCTAGACCCTTCATCAGAAAAGCAGAATAGTTCTGCTTGTTGATGACATCAGATGCTTTGTCCTATATCTGGGCAGTTTTGGATCATCTGGAGGGCACTGAGAATATTTGATTTTTCATCCCTCCCTGCTCAATTTCCTTATTACTGTTTCTAGGGCAATTCAATAAAGATAGGGATAGCATCAAGAGTTTATGCACCATAATTCCATTCCTATGTGACAGAATTCTCCACACATCAGCACTCTCACACAAACTGGTTTAATTCCTCCTTTTAAGATTTGTTTCCTCTGAATCTACATGGAAATAGCATTGATCATTGTGAGGAATCCAAGACAATCTTTAACAAAAACAAATTGCTTGAGAAACCTAGCAGCATCTGTGGAGAGGAAAGTTTCTCTCCATCGCTACTGCCAGACCTGCTGAATTTCTCCAGCAATTTCTGTTTTTGTTTTAAATTTCCAGTGCCCTCAGTTCTTTGGTTTTCTTTCGACCAGTCCAAGACAATCTTTGCTGTCATCATCAATTGATATGAAGACAGATCAATCTGGAGAAAGTCTGCCTGCACTAATTCAGGCTTCTGTCAACCAATAGTAAACTACTGATGTAAAACTACCTGCAACTTTCAGGATACATCGTCAAAAGATTTTTTAAAACATTGGCAAAATGCCTACTGAACATGAAAGAAACTTGCCTAAATATTGAAACTCCCAGTGTGGTCACACTCACCTCTGAAATGTAGGTCTTGCGTTTATGTTTGGACCAAATTTGTTGCGATGTCTGGAGCAAATAATCTAGTTTTAAACATACTGGCTTATTTCAGCTGTCTTTCAGAATTTGTATGCTTCTATGAAAGATTCACTTGTGGAACTGTTCTGAAACCCAAGTAAATTAAATTGACTAGGCAACAGTCTTTGCTTCTTTTTGGATTCTGTTTGCTGTCATTGGACAACAATTCATTATATGCAATTTTAACATGCTGATTCCTATTATGATTTGACTTCTTCACTGAGCAACACAGATTTTTAAACACTGTCATTGTTGAGAATTGTTGTGGAACATTAAGATGCATTTTTGCGGGGTAGAGTCACAGAGTCATAGAGATGTACAACACGGAAACAGACCCTTCGGTCCAACTTGTCTACACCAATGATGTCCTAAACTCATATAGTCCCATTTGCCAGCATTTGGCCCTTATCCCTCTAAACCCTTCCTATTCATCCAGATGCCTTTTAAATGTTGTAACTGTACCAGTCTCCACCACCTTCTCTGGCAGCTCATTCCATACATGCACCATCCTCTGCGTGAAAATGTTGCCCCTTAGATCCCGTTTAAACCTTTCCTCTCTCACTTTAAACCTACGCCCTCTACTTTTGGACTTACATTGGGAAAAAAGACCTTGGCTATTCACCCTCTCCATGCTGCTCTTGATTTTATAAACCACTCAGCCTCCGACGCTCTAGGGAAAATAGCCCCAGCCTATTCACCCTCTCTCTCTGCAGCTCAAACTTTCCAACCCTGGCAACGTCCCTGTAAATCTTTTCTGAACCTTTCCAAGTTTAACAACATCTTTTCAATAGCAAGGAGAAAAGAAGTGATGATAAAAGCCCAGAGACAACCAGGACTTGGCAGTGCAGCACTGCCCCTGTGAAACCATAAGATAGTGGAGCAAAAGCTTTGAGTCTACAATCAAGTAGGAAGTAGCTACCTCCTAACTATTCTAATCCCAAAACTATTCTAATCCTTTAGCACTAAAGGGATCAA